CCACCTGGCCCATTGTGGCCCGCAGGAGGGGAAGCTGGAGCGGAGCAGCCCCTACATCCAAGTGCTGGAGGAAGACTGGCGCCAGGCGCTGCGGGAACACCAGGAGCAAGCCACCACCATCTTCGCCCTGCGGAAGGACCTCCGCCAGGCCGAGGCCCTCCGCACGCGGGTACGAGGGGCGACGGGCCAAGTCGGGCGGAGCTGGGCCTGGCTGAACGACTCCCATGCCTGTCCTTGCGCTGTACTTTTGGAGGCGGAGCCTTGCCCGTCCCCCCCCCGGGGGGGCTGCCCCCTGGTTTAATGCGGGCTGCCGCCCTGGTCTCCGCGGGCCTGCTGTGGGCTCCCGCGTGGCCCGATCACGTGTGCCCCAGGTTCCTTCTATGTCCATCCACCCGTGGGCCAGATGGGCACTAGTGGGGGGTGGGGCTAATGCCGTCCCCACCCCTGCAGTGTGCAGAGGAGAAGGAGATGGTCCAGCTGCAGTGTCTGGCCCTGCGCAAGGACTCCAAGATGTACAAGGAGCGCATCGAGGCTGTGCTGCAGCAGATGGAGGAGGTTGCCATCGAGCGGGACCAGGTGGGCACCTCGGGTAGGGCCAGTGCCATGTGGCGCTCGCTCGCCTGTGATCCCAGCATTGGGAGGATTGGAAATTCCAGCCCCATTGGGCAACTATAGTGACTTAGTGAGACCCTGTCTCAACATTTAAAAAGGGGCTGAGATGTAGCTCAGTGCACAGGCCCTACGTTCAGTCCCCAGTACTTGGGAAAAAAACAAAGCATGTAAACAATAGTGAGGTTAATTTTCCCTTCTCCACACCCTCAGCCCTTCCAGTTCTCAGGGAAAACCATGGTCGCCTTCAGCCCCTTCCTTCCCATCTTCTCTCAGCACTGCTTTTGGATAGTTGTTTCATCTTATTTTACAACAGGAGCTATTTGTTTTCCAAGTAGCTTTTTTGCTTTGTTTTTTGCTACCAGGGATTAAACTCAGGACCTAGCACTTGCAAAGCAGGCGGTGCACCACAGAGCTAAACCCCCAGCCCCAAGTAGCTTTTTTTAACCATGGGCACACTGACTGGCAGACCCTGAGTGCACAGTGAGCGTCCCCGGCTGCAGCTGCCCATTGTGTCCAGGTTGCTTCCGGTCAGTGATGGGGAGCTTCCGCCATGGCTGGAAGGCAGCCTGGCACCATGGGCCAGTGGCCTTGAAACTGGCCAGTGGCCTGAGCTCACCCAGTGATGAGGGTGGGGGCCCCACTGGGGAGGTCCTGTGTCAGCTTCCCCGGATGGGGCTGCTGGTGGCAGCTCCCTAGCACAGCCCCCTGGTACTGATGAGGGGGCAGCTCGGCTCCTTCCAGGTGGCTCTAATCAAAGAAGCAACAAAGAGTAAGGCAGCTGCCAGTACCTAGTCAAGTCCTGGCCACCAGGCTGGGATCCGTGTGCTATCCCAAGATGGGTTTGGTCAGGAGAGGTTTCCAGGTTCTTGGTGTTCTGAACAAAAAACAGCCGGATGCTCAGAAGGAGTAGCAAGGATAAGATTTATTAAAGAGAAATAACAACAGTTGGGAAGAAGTGACAATCCACTGTATGGTGCAAGCGGGCCTCTTCCGACCCTGGGGTTGCGTGAACCTGGGATGGACAGGAGTCAGCCCCACTGGTGGCTCCTGACTCCCCTGCCTGTGTGACAGCAGTTTTGACCACACAAGGTGTCATGGCATCCAAAGCCCACTGTGTGTGGGGCAAAACCACAATGCAGATGAGGCTGGACACAGGCCTTAGGGGATAGGGTGATCTTTATTGGTTTTCTGAATTTTTTTTTTTTTTAGTTTTTTGAAATAGCCCAGGCTGGCCTTGAACTCCTAGTGATCCTCCTGCCTCAGCCTCTGGAGTGCTCAGATTACAGGCCTGTGCTACCGTGCCTGGCTGGTTTTCTGACGTGTTGACACAGTCGTCCTTGTTCATCTGTTTTCTCCATCCCTGTCCCACGCTTTGTTATGTACTTGCCTCTGCCCTACCTCCTGCCTCAGCTGTGGCTCTCCATGGCCTCCTGTTACCTGTGCTGGGCTCAGGTTCTGTCCTGAGGCTGGTAGGGCCCTCCTCAGCTGTACAGTGGTCTCACAGCCCTGGGTCCCCTGGAGGGGATGGGTAAAGAGTGTGAGCTTCACACAGCAGAACCTGAGGTGGTGTTGGTGATCATGTCCCCAATGCCACGTACCTCCCGGATTTATAGGGCATGCGAGTGGGAGGGATGGGAAAGTGCTGCCCTCACGATCCCCGGAAAGCCGGTGATGTCCACGGGGAAGCCAGGGGAGAGGCCTCTGCAGCTCTGCGGGTTGCTGGAGAGGGTGCCTGCCTGCGGCTAGCAGCCGAGCTGTGCCCACGTGTCCCCAGGCCATGGTCTCTCGGGAGGAGCTGCACACGCAATGCGCCCAGAGCCTGCAGGACAAGGATGAGCTGCGCAAGCGGGTCCGCGAGCTGGGCGAGAAGGCCGACGAGTTGCAGCTGCAGCTGTTCCAGTGCGAGGGCCAGCTGCTGGCTGCCGAGGCCCGGCTCAAGCAGCAGCAGCTGGACACGGTGGTCCTGGTGGGCCTGGGTCGGGATCCATGCAGAGAAGGAGCTTGGTGGGGTGCTTGGGCCTGGCCTGGCACAGCCACTGCCCCACTGCCAGCCCCTTCCACCTCCTCAGTGAGGTTGGCATGTCCTTGTGGTAGCCCAAGTGGGAAGTGGGACTGCAGGACAGTGGCTGAGGCCTAGTGACAGCCCTCAGGCAGCCTGGTGGGGGGTGGAGATGGGGGCTGGAGGGGACCCCACAATCTGCTAACCGACCCTTTCCCTGGGACCCAGAGCTCTGACCTAGAGGACAGCTCTCCTAGGAACTCCCAGGTGAGCGGCTCCCAGCCTCTGCTCCCTGGCCACCTGGGCCCCTGTACTTAGTCTCAGAGGGGTACAGGGCTGCCTTCTCTGTCCCACTCCCTGGAGGGGCAGCCTGAAGCCCCTGATGCTCTGTGCAGAGGGTGCCAGTGTGGGCCAGGTCCTGGGCGGGAGGGGCAGTGTGGCTTGCAGAGTGGCCTAACAGGATAACCTGCCTCTCTCTGGAAGCTCTCTCTGCCCCAGGATCTGGAGGATGATGCCCAACTCTCAGACAAAGGTGAGGAGGTGAGGGTACGCAGTGAGCCTCCAGGGAGGCTCCTGGACAGCTCTCTGGCTCTAGGCAGGCACAGCCAGGTGATGCACACCCATTTTGGAGAAAATGAGGCTTGGGGGGATAAGCTGTCAGGTCAAGGACACAAGGAATCGGATTGGGACTTGGGCCCAGCTGATGGGGTGTGTGGCCCATGAGAACATGTTTCTGGGGCACTGGCTGTGGACTGCCCCCCTGTAGGCCATGAGATCACAGAGGGACCAGGGCTTGCCCCTCACACACTCAGCAGAGGGAGGGAGCAGTGGGCCACTGTCTAGTGCACAAGGCTAGGAAGTGAGGACCCACCAGCAGGGCAAGGACATGCTGTGTGCTGTCTACAGTCCCGGGGGTGGGGTGGGGTTTGAGCAGCTGGACAGGACCCTGCCACCCTGGTTTTAAAATTGGGCTATTCATCCCAGAGACAGGACTGGGCCCGGGTCTGGCCAGGACAGAATGGTGCCCCTTGGGGAAACCTGGAGGTGGGGCAAGGGCTGCTGGGAAGGTGAGGGATGGCAAAGGCAGGAGGGCTGAGGCTCTGAGGCTGCGTGGGAATGGAGACAGACTTCCCCAGAGCAGCCTGACCCAGCCTCTGAGCAAAGGCAAAAGGGGGAAGAAGTCGCAGCAAATGGAGAAGTGGGGCAGGCTGCCCGCCACAGCCCAGAAGATGTGAACTTGAGGTGGCGGAACCTACGTGGGCATAGGCGGGCAGGACCCAGGAACAACCAGGAAGCGTGAAGGTGGGAAGGCGAGGGTGCCAATGCAGCCCTGCCAGGCCCCACCACCTTCTGCCCAATCGGCCTGAGGCCTGGTCTGCCAAGGCCCTGGTGGACTCCAGTGCTCCAGCTGCCTGGAGTGTCCACCTTGCTGCTCACCCTCATGCCCACCTTTGGGTGCTACCGTAACCAAAAATGCTCAGCAACTGGGGACACTGCCTGGGGCAGGTGTGGGCAAACTGTCCTGGCATCGGGGTCTTTCCTGCCTGGTGTGCCCTCAGCCATTTGGAGGCAGCCAGCTCAGGAGTGGGTTGGCAGTGATGGTAGTGCTGGGCCCTGCTCCAGGGCCACCTCGAGTGGAGGGCTGGGAAGGTCTTCTGTCCCTCGTCTGTGAGGTGAGACATCGTCACTGAACTCTCGTGAGGACCCCAGGAGACCTCCTGGATCAGCCTGAGTGAGCTGGTTTGGCAGAGGGCAGGGGCGGCACTCCCAGGCCCTGCTGTCTTCCAGGTGGCCTGGCCGAGGGAGAGAACCCGGAGCAGCCTTTTGTGTCCTTGCAGAAGGAGCCGCTCCCGCTGAGCCCTCTTGTAAGGCTTCTCTCTCGGGGTCCCCTCAGCCCTGTGTCCCATTGGCCACTCCTCCCCTTGGGGATGATGCCAAGGTACCCGCGGGTCGTTCCTGGGTGCAGCGTTTGGAACATGAGTGGCACTCCTCGGCTCCTGCACACGGAGCCGACCTGGAGGCCCTGCGAGCGGGCGGGCGGGCAAGGCGTGCAGGTGCAGCTGGCCTCGCCTTCACAGGACGCTGGCCCGAGTGCTGGTGGGGAGCCCCCCGAGAAGGAGCGGCGACGCCTCAAGGAGAGCTTCGAGAACTACCGCAGGTGGCTGGGGCCGCGGGCGCGGGCGGGGGCGA